AAGTGTTAATACTATAGCAACTGTAGGAGCTCTGATAGCGTAGTGATTATGAATCGGGCTGTGAACCTCAAGGTCAACAGTTCAAAATTACCAGCTGTTCTATGGGAGAAAGATGGGACTTTCTGCTCCCGTAAAGATTTACAGCCTCAGAAACCCTGTACAGGGTTGCTATGAGTCAGAACCGACTGTAGGGCACACAACAACAACTCTAGCAACTTTATATGTAAGAACATTTGCAAAGAGGTCGATTTTCACAGAGCTGGTAAAATGGGAGCCAGAATTCCAAATTAAGACCTGATTTCAAGCCTTGACTATCATACTACACTGTTTCAGGATTTCATTAAAGACTGTTAATTTATTAGAGACTTAAATTTATGGTCTCTGCTCATAATGGAAGGCTTCCCTTTGGGGACTCAGGCATTAGCGATAAACATCAAAGTACCAGTAATTTTGTCTTAAAGTACATGCAAGTATATGAAATTTGGAAAGGTCTTTCTTCAAGATTGAAAATTTATGTGATGGACTATAACAAGTGTCCATTTCAAAGATCTACAAGAACAGAATGAACTTCCTGCATGGATGGGCTTGCAAAGTCTTGACTGAATGACCGCTTAAGGTCTTTCCAAACCCAGGATTGTCTTACTCAAAGATGGAGCATATATCTAGTGAATAAAGTATCCCTTTCACTATAAAATCACTTGGCTGTTTTTTGTTTGTTTGTTCTCTTGTTTATTTCTTTCTTATGGCACATGGTTAAAGCAAAAGTGAAGCTACAGATGCTGCTATTGCTTCTGCTGTGTGCCATTGCGTTTGTTCTGATTCCGAGCAACCCTGTATAGGGTGATCTTTGCCCATGGAGTGGCTGGTGATTTTGAAGTGCTACCTTGTGGTTAGCTGTCCAACACATAACCAACTAAACCACTAGGACTCCTTGAAGATGAAGATAATTCTATAGTATTAAGATTACCTAGTAGGAAAGAGTCAGGATACATTTTTTAGTGGATCTATATCAATCTGTGAGTTAGAAATAATAATTCAGTTAGTGATGTGTATCTTACTTCACAGCTAATAGGCTAGAAAGCACTGCATTTAGATATCTTGAATAAGTTACTAACAGTTTTTGATTTATTAAACTAAATAATAATAATATCATGGAATAAAATTTTTGAAACTTTTAAGAGACATGTTTGAAAAATTTCGTTTTTCTTTTACTTTTTTTGTTTTTCATCTCTTCCCCCACAAACGAAAAGGAATCCCTGCATATTTAGGATCAGATATCCCACTGCCTATCCTTGTGTGGCGCTGTGGGCTAATGCGTCAGACTGCAAAGTTGTTTGAACTGCAGTGGTTGGTGGTTCAAGCTCACCAGCTGCTACTTGGAAATCCTATACAGGATCGTTATGGGTCGAAATCGCTCAAATCCACAAGTTGTTCCTTGGAAGCCTTGTTTGTACAGGGTCGCTATGAATCAAAACCAGCTCAACGGCACTTAAGAACAAATATATATGTTTTTAACATATGATTTTCAGATACCTACATCTATGAAGTAAGCATCCTTATTGAAGACATTTAATTCATTTTACCCATCACACAGACCATATTTCTTTCTATCTCTAGTGTAACTGCTTTTCCGAAGAAATGCAATCATCCATCTCACCCTCACACATAAAAACTCTCTCAGCAGCTCAAAATAGTCTTCCTGTTCTTTACAGTGTCCATTTTTATGTCAAGACATAGATGTAACTTGGTTCCCTTTTAAGTTTAAATTGCACAGTGATTCTTGCCAATTGATATTCTCTAAGATAACAGTATGGCCTGTTTAAAAATTATAGACGGGAATGAAACAAGTTTGCTAATGCTGAAGATAAGGAAAGTTTCCCTAAGAAATTTATTTCATCATTTCTTATTAGTGTAATATTATTGAAGACTTTTTTTTTTTTTCCAGTGCAAGCAACTCAAATGGTGATTTTGCATGTTACAATGTTCCCTTCAAGCAATTCTCTTATCTTCCCAAAGTGGTGAAGGTAGGGGGATAATTTGTCTGTTACAAAATAGACAGAATACATAGAATTTCTCATTGATTTACAATTCCCTAAGCTAACCAGGTAGCAACTGCTTATCTCAGATGTGCAGAGCATGAAAATCTACTGTTTCTCTGCATATTTAATTTAAACAATCAGAAGATGTGGTGTATTTACAGGATTTGTATTACTTGGCCCAGTTAGTTGTCTTCTAGAATTCATCACAAATGTTATATAAGATGTCATCCTTATGTATGGAAATAATTTAAGTTTGGACACTTTATGAGTTTCACATTAAAGTGTAGTAAATAGAAAAAATATTTCCTTTTAGACTTGGTCTCACATAAAATTTTATTCACCTTCACATAAAACCACATTGTCCAGTTTTTTCTGCAGATCCTTATCATATGGTCTTTCTCCTGCCAACTGTAAAGACAGGGATCAGTTGACAATTCACAGGTTGCATGAGCACTTTCAAGAGCCAATTCTCTGTCTATAGTGATCTTTTGGCATGGACATTTCAGTGTTTTTAGTTCATTGGCAAGCCACCTTTGCTCTAGCTAATACCCTGAAGGAGTATTTTACAAAGACAGTTGCTGTGTTAACTGGGATAGAATCCCACCACACCCCCGATTTCTACCACACTCTCAAGTCAGGAAACATTCAAGAAACTCTACTAACTTGATTTGTATTTTCAGTGTAGATGAAATTTTACACACCTTGATAAAAATAATGTCTCTTATAACTTACCTCACACAGTAAGAAGCATGATTTGGTTTATGTAATCACCATACAATATATGAGGACAGAATTGTTCATTCTGTCTTTAATAACCATGTGTCCACCTGATTTCTGTTCAGTCTCTGGTAAATGGTTATGCATCCTTACAGACCAACGCAAATGACTCCTCCATGCTTTAAGTTAGTGAAACAGAATGCTTACATCACTCTGAGAGGTTTACATCACTCTGAGAGTATTTGTTTGTTTGCTTGCTTTTTAAACCACCCTGCTCTGTGGATTTCTTTGAAGCCGGATGGTGTAGTGAAATAGGTTGTTGTTGTTGTTAAGTGCCGTCGAGTCAGTTCTGCCCATAGAGACCCTGTAATAGGGTTTCCAAGGAGCAACTGCTGAACTTGAACCAGCAACGCAAAGCAACTTTGTAGTCCAGTGCATTAACCTACAGCACCACACCAGGACTCCAGGTGTTGGTTTAGGTATTAGGATATTAGAATTCTAGTTCCAGCTGTGTCACTGACAAAAAAAAAAAAAAACAAAAAACAAAACAAAAACCATTATCAATCATTAATAAAATCTGTGTGAACCAATTTCTTCTGTTAACAATGTTGTAAAGTATGGTGCACCAGGTTTGATGATTTATAGTTGTGTGAACCTGAATGGACCTGCCATGACTAGGGTGTCTGCATTTAAAGATCAGAAGGATTATCAAGACATGGATCATTGAAGGGAAATAGTTCACAGGAGGCATATATTGACTTGAAGGAAGCCAGAATTCCAGTTCTTTACGCGAAGAATAGTTTCATGGCATTTAAATAGTTCTAACTAGCCCCCAACCCAATCTCAGATGTTGACATTTCCCTTGCAGATTGTTTTTCTACTGCTGCATAACAAATCACAATTTAGCAGCTTAACACAACAACCGTTTATTATCTCACAACTTTATATATCAAAAGTTTATGTATAGTACATTTGGATTTTCTCCTCAGGCTCTCACAAGACTGAAATCAAGGTTGTGTTGACTGGGGTTCTGATCTCATTGTAAGTTCTGAGGTGTTTTTCAGGCTTTTAGAAGAATTCAGTTATTTGTGGTGATAGGACTAATGTCCCAATTTTCTTACTGCCTACCGGTCAGGGATTGTTCTCCATTCCTAGAATTTATCCTCACATCCTAGCCATATGACCTCCTTCACAGGCAGTTCACAGTATAGCTTTTTGTGGAGGCCAGCAGGAATGTTTCCTCCTGATACAGCTGACTCTTGTTTCTTTTAAGGGCTCACCTGATTAGGTTAGGCCCACTCAAGATCGTCTCCTTTTTGATTAACTTAGAGTCAACTGATAAGGGATCTCAACTGTATCTACAAAATACCTTCTTCTCTATAACATATATGACATATTCCTCTTTTCTCTGTAATTATGAAAGTCATTTAATTATGTGTTTTTAAGGTCTTAAAGTTCTGTTAGTCTACATAAACATCCTCTACTGCTTCAATCTGACCAATTTCTGTTGCATTCATGTTAAATATGATATTCTAATTGCTATGATGTGCTGAAATGACTAAATCTCATTGGACAGTTTTTAACTATAAGCAGGATGGACAGACAGATGGTAGACAGGTGCCTCCCAGCCTGTTAAGTCCCCAAGCTAGTCTAGATGCTATCTCTGACTGATGGTTTAGACTGGTTTATGAAGTTGAATTCTGAAATGAAACCAAAATATTTACTAAGAGTCACACAACTTTAGTACTGGGGGGGAAAAAAACCCCAGCAAATCAAAACACACAGGCAGTTAGTCTTCTGTCATGTGACTTCCCAACTAACTCCTTAGATCAAGCTCATTCTGGTCACTTCTGACTATCAGATTCTGACTATTCCTGACCCTGAACTTAAATCTGTCATTCTGTCATTCATTAACTTCTTCCTACAGATTCTAGATCTATCCCTGAGAGCTAAACGGGAAAAGCAACTGTGTTGTAACCTGACAGCTCTTTGGATGTTGGAAGCTGGTAGTTGCTTCTCACCTGAATGAAAGACTGTTGTAAATTTCTTGAACACAATAGGAAATTTCTTTACTATTTTAGAAAGGAGAAAAACTTGTCAATGTACTTTATAGAGTCTATCACCAGAAGCAAGTCTTTTGTGAATATGTGTTAACAGATTTTTTGTTTTGTTTTGTTTTAAGTAAATGTTGATCAACAATGCTTTAGATTGGATCTCATCGTACTTTCCTTATTTTGTTTATAGAGTGAAAGAGAAACCATTACGTTCTTTGCACAAGAGGACAGCACTTATCCTGCACAGACTGGCCCCAAAGCCTTCAAAATTCCTTATTCCATCAGACAGCGAATTTGTGCTACATTTGATACCCCCAATGCCAAAGGCAAAGATTGGCAGATGTTAGCACAGAAAAACAGCATCAACAGGTAATTGGGGAAAATACTGAAAAAAGAAAGCTTGGGTGTAACCGTTGGGTTTCTGGGACTTGATAGTTATGGACTCCTATGACCACGTTTTTCATCATTGGCCTGGCTAAACAAAGGGCAGAAGAGCTATTGTGACTCCACTTAGCATTTCCCGCTACCCATCTCTCTTTTGTGGGCATCATGGAAAAGTCTTAGTTTGGTGCCATCTCCAAGCTTACTACTTGAGTCAGCCAAATGGAGACTTAGACTACATCATCTTGGTTCTTTTAAGTGGTCAGAGCACAGATAACCTTAATGGATGTGCTTCATAAAGAACCAAACTCTCACCTCCTCCCCACCACAGGGTCATCTCAGCAGTATTTATCCTTTAGTGAGGACGTGTTCAGTCTGCAAAAGTGGGTTTTAATATAAAAATAACAAAGTTGAAGAAGATGATTCTCAAGTCTCATCCAGAGTGCATTAAACAAACAAAAGGGTGCCTAGGAATCACAAATGATTATGCTGCTAAAACTGACCCTGTTCATCATTGTGGTAACACTGTAGTGGAACTGAGAGTAGAAGAGAAAGTCTCATAATGGGTCTTATTACTCTCTATGAGAAAAAGCGTGGGGTTAGGAATGGTGCAGGCAGATTTTGGCTCAGTTTGAGGGGTAGCTATGAAGGGAAAAAACATTGACAAATAAAATCTCCTCTCCTCAGCCATTCTTCCCTCCATATTTCACATAATGATTATGAAAGAGAAATAGTGTTGCCAGAACATTTTATTCCTTTTCCCTTTGGTACAATTTCTTTCTTTTGTGGCAAAGCCTTATGTTCTTGCTATTTGGCTTGCTCTGTCAATTCCATTTTTTGTTCTTTATTTCCACAGACACCCTACCTGACTCTTTCTTCTTTGAAAGGGAGGGTAGATGTCTGCCAGGAAAGGATAGAATGTTGCTTTCTGTTTCAAAAGGGATCCAGAATCCAATAGAAGGGCCCAATAAGAAAGCAGTCAGCCTCAGAGAAGAAAGTTACTGTGAGAGGAAACTGGATTTAGAGAGACAAGCAGACCTAAATGAAGTAGATATATTCTTGAGAAGTCATATTTTGGAAATGAAAGAATAAAAAAAATATGCATGTACAGGGAAAAGATTAAGTTTAATAAGCCCCAGCTACTTTGAGGGAGAATGAGATGACTTGTTTAGAACCAGTGAACCCCAGGATAATGTTGTGTACTTTCGCATCAACCCAAGGGCAAGTGAAGAACTAACCCTGAAAATATAATTCAGTTATAATAGAGTATTCGGCAGGAACTCAGAAGATCACAGGGCAGCACTGGCTCTGTTTCCAAATACCCAGATCACTGACCATACCTGTTTCTTTTTCTTCACATGTAACTCATGACATTTAAACTATACACATATTAACTCTTCAGTCTATTCTGACTTTAAAAGTGTATGGCTTTTTTTTTTTTTTGTTTGTCATCGTATAAGAAAAAAATAATTGCTACAAAAAATCTATGCCCACTAGTTTTCTGTCATTAATTTGTTGAATGAGTGTGTGCAGGTTCCTGTCTCCCTCAAGTTTATTTTCCATTTACAGTATACATAAGAAAATGAAAACAAATGCCCCCAGACTCATTTAATTTTGGCCTTGCACAATAGGGGAAAAAAGCCCTTTCAACTTTGGGAGACGAAGTTTAATAACCTTTTGTGTCTGGCACTAACCAGCAATAAATAGCTACACTAGAACAACGGTCCCCTCAGTGTTTGGGGTCATGACACTTGAGCACTTTGTGTGTCTGTTTATTTTCTGGGATTTATGTATGTGTGTGTGTGCTTTTCCCTAAGCCTAAATTTCATTTACTAAGTAGATGACCTGCCTTATGGAAAGTTTTTAACACAGTGTCCAGGATGCGGTAGAGTCTCAATGAATGTTACTTAAGCTCAACCAAACTCATTGCTGTGGAGTCAATTCTGACTCATAGAAACTCTATAGGATAAAATGAAACTATGCCACACAGTTTCTAAAGCTGAAATCCTTATGGAGAAAGCCTGGTGGCACAGTGATGTGAGTGCTCAGCTGCTAACTGAAAGATCAGTTACTCCAAACCACCAGTGCCTCCATGGGAGGGATGCAGCAGTCTGTTTCCATGAAGATTTACAGTTATGGGAGCCCTATGGGACAGTTCTGCAATGTCCTATTGGGTCGCTATGAATTGGAATTGACTCCATGACAGTGCATAATCTTTATGGAATCAGACTACCACATCTTTCTGCTGTGGAGTCAAGCTTGAACTACCAACCTTTTGGTTAGCAACCAAGAGCTTATCTATTGCACTATCATGGCTCTTTAAATATTAGTTGTTGTTGTTGTTAAGTGCCCTTGAATTGGTTCCAACTCATAGTCACCTTGTATACAGTTTACATGGAGTGGCTGGTGGGTTTGAATCACCAACCTTGCAGTTCAAACTGACCTTGTGGTCCAGTGCATTATCCTGCAGCACCACATTCCTTAATTTTTTTTTACAATTAATATTAACAATTTATGAAAATATAATGACTAGAACATCATGAATAGTTGTCCTGATGTGACACTATAGGGTAAGCACTGGGCTGCTAGCCAAAAGGTTACTGTTCAAACCTACTAGCCCCTCCTCAGAAACCCTATACAGGGTTGCTATGAATTAGAATCAGCTTGACAGCACTTCACAGCAACAGAGTATCATGAATTGTATGCAATTTACTTTGGTGTCAAAACTTATTTAGTTAATATATGTTCAATTTAAGTGAGTGATATTTCCTAGCTTCCTTTTTAATTCTCTGGGAAGTATTTAAACTAGAGGTCAACAAACTTTGCCTGTAAAGCACTAAATCATAAATAGACATTTGTAGGCTACTTTTATGGCTGTGTTGCGAGTTCTCAGCAACTATGAAATTGTGCCATTGTAATGAAAAAACTGTCCTAGAAAACACATAAGCAAATGGACATACATGACTCTTTTCCAAAGAAATTTATTTACCAAAAAATAAGCAGCAGTTCAAGTTAGCTTTTGCATAATAATTTGCAGGCCCCTGGTTTGAATGAACCTGGTGTGTGTGGCACTGTAGTATCAGCACTGGACAAGGTTTGCAGTTCAAATCCACCAGCTGTTACTCAGAAACCCTATACAGGGCCGCTATGAATAAGAACTAACTCAACAGCACTTAACAACAACAAGCCTCAGATGGAAGGAGGCCTGGTGGTACAATGATTAAGAACTCTGCTGCTGAGAGACTAGTGGCTGGAACTCACTCAGTGGTTCTACAGGAGAAAGGCAGGGTGATCTGCTTCTGAAAATATTACAGTCAAGAAAACACCACGGGCAACTACTTTCTCACCTGGGTCACTGTGAGTTGGAACAACAACAACCTTCATGCAGTAAAAGTTCCATGCTGTTGTTATTAAGTGCAGTGAGTCAACTTACAACTGATAGTGACCCTCTATGGGGTTTTCAAGAGTGGCTAGTGGGTTTGAACCACCAACCTTGTGGTTAGCAGCCCAGTGCTTATCCTACAGCACCACACCATAACTTCCACGTTGCTGTTGTTGTTAAGTGCTGTCGAGTTTGTGCTGACCGATAGTGACCCTGTATAGGGTTTTCAAAGAATGGCTATGAGTTTGAAGCTTGAATCACTGACCTTGCAGTTCAAACCAACTTTGCAATCCAATGTATTAACCCACAACACCACATCAGGACTCCTAAAACTTCCATAGGATCCTGTTAGTTCCATAAGATAATACCTGGAGCTAACATGTACACAATTTCATATACAAGCATCTTCAGGATAGGTGCAGGACAAGGTATTTTCTTGAGACTCCTCATATGATGGTTTTGACAAAAATGTCCACCAATTTTTTTTGGACAAGCAGAATAGGAGAAATACTGTTCAAATCTACCTTTCATAATTTCACCAAATTCTCACTACATGAGCCCAAACTATCAAATTCCTTTGGTATTTTCCTTACTGTATGAACATAGGTCTTCTATATGTAAAGGGACATGGGTGACAAGACTGATGAGGATTTTCAGATGTAATTAATCATGATTTCCCAAAATCATCTTTGTTTTTAGTCTCTTATGGTTACTAATAATATAACATAGAAGTAATAGTAAATGTGTGTTAACATATCATAAATCTAAACATATCAACATTCCAATGTTCTTGGATAAGAAAACTATCCCATGTCATAGCATTTCACCAACTGTGGGATCACAAAAGAATTATGTTCACTAAGCAGGTAGCTAAATCTTTCAATAGAGATTTTACCTACAGAGATCACGTGACACTTTTGCCTGCATCTGCCCCTTCTTTCAATTTCCCAAAGTGCTAAAAAGCTAGTAAAGCAAATAATGAAAAAAAAGGTTTTCAAACGTAGTGGAGGGGAACACAGGCTTTTATTTCCAGTGAAAATATTTTCTTGTCATCATTTGGTAAATACAATTGCCATTAATGGTAATCTACTTCTTTTGTTGTTGTTGTTGCCATATGAGCTCTTCCCACTAAGACAGAATGGGGAAGAAAAGGCAGGGATAGGAAGTGAAAAGTTTACCAATACATAAGAATGTGAGCAATACCAGTGGTGTGTGCTGGAAGGCTAGCAACACAGGTGGCCTTGCAACTTGCCTGGCATGTGGATCACTCCAAAAGTGCTGTATAACCTAGCAAATAATGTCAGAGATAACAGCTGCAATTATAGATTCTGTGAACAAGCTTTGACTATTACTCAGATTCTTTACTTGCTGACTTTCTAAGCTGAGATTGCACATTTATTCTGTAAATTCAGCTGCAATATTCTCTGTGCTCTTGGTCACTTACGATTAGTAGGTAGGAGTGAGAAATAAGGACTTGAGCACATAGTTATAGGTGGTAGGGAGCATGCTAAAGACTTAATAAAATTAAATAATATTCAAAGCTAACTGCTTCAGCTAGAAATACCTCCCCCCGCCCCACGTAAACTTCCATTTTTATTGTTGTTAA